TCTTTTTTTTTATCTCAATCTCCTTTTTATCATTTACTTTTTCATTTTTATCCTTTTAATTAAGGGAAAATAAAAAATAGCAGGATATATTATAGTAACCCTCTTTGATTTCCTATTAACTTGATTTGAAACTCTGTATTGCTCTCACCATCTTGTTTTGACTGACTTTCCTCTATTATATTATGCTTGATAGTACCAAGTTTGAAAGTATAGGCAACAACTATGAAGTCAATAAGATTCATTATGACACCCATTTTGGTTGACTATTATCTTCTTTTGAAGTCCTCTAATGTCTCCAATGTTTTGGTTTTATTGGTATTATTCTTTACTGTTTTGTACAATTTTATTATAACTGATGTTATAGGCAATTCTTTTTAAGATAACAAGAGGCATTATGGTAACCATTGTTGATCACTTTGTATTTTGTTTTTACATTATGTATTATGTCCATCCTTTTGATTTGACTGACTCTGTCCTGGTATGTCACATTTGGTTTTACTTTCTTCAAAAAAAAAAAAAAGTAGTAAGAATTGTGGGAGTAATAAAACCCAAAATGTGTAATTGTCATTGTACAAAAGAAAGGAAAAGAAAGTTCTCTAAAAGATATAACTGCATATATATTTAAGTGTATAAGATAGATAACCATATTACTGCATTTTGTTGGATCATTGAACAAAACTGTTTGCAGTCTCACTGTTTGAAAGTCCCCTCTATATGCTTTAATTTTGTAACTTCAACAACTATTTCTAAGATGACAATATGTAATTAACTAGTGATTTCCTACTGTTTACTTTTTCTGAAATTCTGTATAACTTGTATCCTTTTTCTGTTTTTTTTTTTCTTTTTTCTCCTTAAATAAAAAAAAAAAAAAAAAAAAGTTACTGAAGCTGTACCTGTTAGTGCAGGCCTATAATCCGAGCACTGAGGAAGGGTAAGACAAAAGGATCACGAATTTGGAGCCCAGCCTGATCAATTCATTTGAAGTAATCCTGTTTCAAAATAAGAATAAAATCATGCTTGGGTTGTAGCTTGATGTAAAAGTCCTCGGTTCAATCCCCAGTACTGAAAAAATAGAAGATAAAGATGACGAAGATGAAGATGAAGACGAAGAAGCAGCGGCAGCAGCAGCTGAGGGTGTAACTTAGTGCGAAAGTCCTGGGTTCAATGCCTAGTACCATCACCACTGTCAAAAAAAGAAAAGAAAAGTTATTCATATAAAGCAATGGATTTAAGACACACATTTTTATAAACATCCCACATATTAAAAATTAAGTAGTAAAACCTAATATTTACTTTTGAACATTAAAGAAAATAGCATACCATTTGATAAGGTAAGATGGCAGACTGCCACATGCTGGCAGCATCATCTGGGTTCTGAATTGAGTTAAGCTAATAAATTGGTACCAGCATAGTTAGAATCAGTCAGTCCTAATGTGATTAATTTTCCATTATGCAAACTCCCAAGACAATTAATTTAGTATGAGGCTAGAAAATTACCTTACCTCTGACACCTAGGCTGCTTCCTTTCTTGTATTAAACACTGGGAAGACCAAGTAGTCATCGAAGTGACTCTTGGCCTGAGCAAACTCAAAAGAGGCAGAAGTAGTACTCCTAGGACATCATCAGTCAAAGCTTTGGTTATTCAGGTACTAGTAGGGTTCGAATAGGGACTCTGCTACTTTCTAGCTGTGACTCTGGTTTTCCTATCTGGAAAAATGAGGATACTAGTAGTCCTCAATTCATGACATTCTCCTGAAGAGTAAATGAGTTATTATAGTGTATAAAGTGCTTGTAATTGTATTTCATGCTTGTCAAATTCTGTGGTTGTCGTTTGCATTAATTGAGGGACATTTTTGCAGAAATGAAGAAAATTACCACTTTTAGCCCACTTTAGTGAGCAGATTTCTCACATTGCTGGTTTCTTTGGGAAGGTATCTGTCTCTGTCTGGTACAAGACAATGCAATAAAAATGGTACAAAAAGGGGAGAAGTATGCATCAGAGCTAGTAATCTAAATTCAAGGAACTTATATATAATATCACTGCTCTCTGACTTCAATATTAAATTAATTTTAAGAGATTACATTGCTAATATTTCTTAATTGGGTCAACTGGACTTTGTAATTGTCCTCTCATCTTTCATCAAAAATCGTTTAAGGAGCTGTGCAAGGTGTCTTGCAAATGAAGTTGGACAAGGGCTTTAGTACATTCCATAAATTGGATTCTGTATAGTTGTAAATTATGCTGACAGGCATTCTTGTAGCACAATGAGGTCAAACAGTCTTATGGAAAATGGTCTTTTCATGCAGTACTCAAGCCAAAAAAGGGAATTATAAAGATACCAAGTCATGTGTATAGTAAAAACAGAAATGCAACCCAATGCCATGGCTATTTTTCAATCTTACAGGGATGAAATAATACACATTATGAAAACATACAGCAGGGGCTGGGGATTTAGCTCAGTGGCATAAGCGCCTGCCTTGCAAGCAGGCAGTCGTGAGTTTGATCCCTGGTACCGATAAAAATGAAAAAGACAAAAAAAAAAAAACATACAGCAATAAGAATGCAAAGCTATGATTATGAAGTACCTGCTACATGAAAGTATACTATAACACATTCTATAAATTATATGAAAAATTTTAAATTATAGCTCATGATTTTACAGTGTGTAGTTTAAAAGAAGTAGAGGAATATGCACATAATTAACTAAAGAAAGCATTTAAAAGCCATAAGTCAGAGAGTTCAGCTTGAAAGAACATAGGTGGATTTGAATTGGTTTACTAAAGTTAGCTCATTCCATGGGAAGACTAACGTGGTCAGATCATGAGATGTAACCCTTTCCACAAAGGGATGTTAATATTTACATAATCAATTCTTGAATAATATCAGGCAACAGGGTAGAGAGTAGAAATAGCTTTAACTTTAGAAAAGCTTGAGTTAAAACTTGGCTCAAACAATTATCCATGAGGTGACTCTAACAAGTAAGCTTCATTCCCAAAGTTAGTGTCGTCTTTGATTTCCTCTTCCAACCTCATTCTTCATATGGTTAATCAATAGTTTAGTCTGTACATGTTTTGAATGCATTCCATCTTCTTCATTCCCACATTGCAGCTGTAACACTGACCCTTAACATTTGTTATGAATTCTGTGACTCTAACAGTCATTTCTCGTCACCCACACAATATCTGTCACTCTTTTTTGTTTTTGTCTTTTTGAGACAAGGTCTTGTTATGCAGTTCAGGCTGTCCTTGAGCTCACTTTGTAGCCCAGGCTGGTGGCGAACTTGCAGCGATCCTCCTGTCTCTTGAGTGCTCTTGTGTGCTGACCACAGATGTGCACCACCACGCCCAGCTTTGTAATTTTTTTTTCTTTTGTCGTGTCACTTCTTAAGAAGGCATTTAAGACTTTCAATGAATTGAACACTGTTTACATTTTTAAACACATATGATAATCATATTTCATACATAACCTATGTCTCTCCAACCACTCACCTGTTGTATGTCTCTATGCATTTGCACATCGCTGTTTTTTAATGTCAGAAATTGACACTTTCCTCCCATCTTTGCTCTGCCATTCCCATCCAGCAAAATTTAAGATTTTACTCTACCTCCAACACGGTACTCAAACACATTACCTTTATGAAGCACTTCTTGAGAACACCAGGCATATGTTGTTATTACATCACCAGTTCCTTCACAGCATATCTCATAGACCTGTGCTAGTGCAACACTGCCATCATTTGTGTATAAGCCAACTGCCTCAAGAAAAAACAAATAGAAAATTATCTTTCACTTTTGAATTCTCAGGCCAAAGATGATGTCTGCCATCAAGAGGTTGTGCAACAATACTTGTCATAGTAATGACATCAAACTTGAGAATACATGGAAATAACAAAGGAAACATTTTATGAAAGAAGTGGCAGTTGATGTAGACCTTGAAAGATTTTGAAAATATTTTAGAAATGTTAAATATGTAAACTTGAGATGTTTAGTGTTTGAATACATAAATGGTAATGTATGTTTTGATAACTCTTTATACATAAATGTTTTACAAGCTGAAGCTCTGTTTTTTCAAGACCCATAGAGAAAGACTTTGACAGGGTGAACATTTTATCATTACGTTAATTATTTCATTGAAAAAAGGATCCACCTCATGTCTCCTAGAAGAGGAATGCTTGTTTTCAGAACAGTGCCACCTTGATTTTTTAGTACAATGTGGTATCAAAAGTACTTGACTTTTTAGCTGAAGCATAGATGATTTTGCTTATGGCTCTACATTGTATTTTATAGCAATTAGAAATGTGAGTAATCATTCTTGCATATTGAATTTCTCCTGAACTTATTAAAACTGTAAAAAGCAGCCTACCTTTAAACCACAATGGAAAATGTGTGGTAACTTTGACAACTCAGTGCTGTTCAATTTTGCTCTCTTTGAGTGTATCATCTAAGTCTGATGGTAAAACTCACAATTTGGATATCTTTGCATTCCAAATCATGTCCAAGTTACCAGTCATGATTACTTCACTGGCAGATTTCTTATATATGAATCATTAAATGGAATTAAAAATACTTTCTTGAACATTCCATTTTTATCTTAACTGTTGCATATTGTCATGAATGATTGAACATATATCAAAGAAGGCTTGGAAACCAATAAAAGAATCATGAGTAAGAAATCTAGAATGCAGTCTAGAAAGAAAAGCTATACCATTACATTCCACTTTAAGGAAAACAATTGGTATTATTCTAGGCATTCTTAATTATTAGTATAAATTTTTTGGTTTTGAAAACACAGAATGGTTATGGGTCTAGAAAATTGTTTTACTTCACAGGAGAGAGCCCTGTGAAGAAACCTCTCCAGTGTTGGCTAGCTCTTCACCTGTGAAATCCTGGCACGGTAGGAAAAGTACTGGCTGAATTTAGGGAGCTCAGGAGGCAGCCTGAGGAAGCACTACGTGAAAGAATAGCGTATGAGATGTGACTAGAAGTGTACACACATGAATTAAGGCATGGATTACAAAGGCAAACTTGGAAGGGGAGGGACAGTTGCTTTTTATCTATTCTCCTTGTCAAAGTGTGAAGGCTCCCTACCAACCTTTGGGACTTTACAGTCGGTTTTCAACCTGCATTCCCCAGTGGAGTTGCTTCAGGCCAAGTCAGACTTCTTGTTGATGTTTTTGCTAAAAGAGAGTAATTTCGTTTTCCTGGTAACGCACCTGTTTACAACTCTGCCCTTCTGGAACCCAGAGCTAGTGTCTGCAGAGCGTGAGGTGCCAAGGAAAAGCGGCGATGGGACGATGGAGACAGTCTCCTCGCGAACTGCAGTCGTACCTGCCAAGGAGTAACCAACAAGCACAGATTTATGTGTACTTTTAAAGAAAGAAGCACCGTCACCACCGGCTTCCGGAGGGCGCTGTCTCTAAGGAGCGGTGGGTAGGGCGAGCGAAGCCTCGGAGAAGCCCGGGCTGTGAGCTCCTGTAACCTGGAGAGGAGGCTCCTCCAGGGGCGCTCCCTCGCGCTCGCCCTGCGCCCCCCAGCGCTGCTCTAGGCGGAGCCGCGCCGCGGTCGCTCTCTTCCCGCCCCCTGATTCCTGCTGCTGCCGCCCAGAGGAGAGACCGGACTCTGCTTCCAGTTTCCTCCGGAGGGAGCCGGCGCTGCGGAGCCGGGAGGTGGGCGCGCGGAGGAGAAGGCGATGAATGAGTTCTCCCCTCCTTCCGTACTTGACTGAGTTGGCGGCGCCGCGCCCAGGTTTGCAGCTTTCTGCGCCCCAGGAGCTCGCCACTCCCGGGGTCGCTCCCACGCCCGCAGCGGGGACCGAAGCAGTCGCGCCCGGGGAGCCCAGGCTCTGGGGCGCCCGTCCGGCCTCAGTTGGGGGCCAAGGCGCGCGGTCCCCCGCGGAGGCTCCAGGTCGCGCCTGTCCATGGCGTCTCGTCAGCAGACCCGGATCCAGGCTTACCTGGAGAGGAACAAGATCGGTCCTCTGTTTGAGGTAAGGCGCTGTGCAGAAGGACGGTCCCACTGTCTTCAGGGAAAGAGGTGCGGTAAGCAGACCAGAACACCCTCGAGGGAAGGAGGGGTACGGAACAAATGCGCGGGAGAGGGCGCCCGACCACCCCGGTTCAGTGGCATCTGTTTCGCCAGTCCAGGTGTGCTGGAACGCGGCCGGGAGGGCACCCCGCCAGCTCCGGGGCGCGGACAGGTGGGCTCCGAAGACCCAGTCTCAGCCCGGCACGGCAGTTTTGAGCCATCTCTGTCCTCTACCTTGCAGCCACATGTGCAGGACCCGGGCAGGCTGAGATAGACGATACACACAGATGTGCACACACTGATGATCTTACACACACACACACACACACACACGCGCGTCGCGAATTCACAATATCTCAATATCTTGCGGGTTTTTTTTTTTAACGTGGGAGGTAGTGGACCCGAAAAAGTGGAGGAGGTGCTTAGCGATAGAAAGAAACACGGTTAACTTAGAAAAAAAGCTAATGGCAAGGAATAGGTTTCCCTGGATGCAGGCTTGTTGAACGCTGGGAGACTGACATTGATCCCTTGATGAAAGGAGGGGTCTTGGCATTGTAGACGCCACCTGTGATGGGGGGCGGGGAGGATAGCGGTTCTCGAAAAAGCACAGGAGTATTTACAAAAAAGAGACAATGGCTTTGAGCTCTTTTCTTTGCTCATCAAAGAAATGATGACAAAAACGGCCTGAGGAAAAAGAGCGGGAGGCTCACAGATAGGGGGCCAGAGACTGGAACCAGGCACCAGCAAAGCGTCCCACCAGTTAGCACGCGAGGGGCGTGGGGCGCGGGGTTGGTGGTGCGCGTGGATGAAGTACTGTGTTCTGACTCGCAGCCCATGGGGAGGGGCACTGGGGCACCCCGTCCCCTTGCTCCCTACCCCCAGCTGGGCAGATTAGCGCAGAAAGAGTACATGGGAGGGGAAGTGCGCCCCTGAGCTCCACTGAAGCAGTCTTATCTGTTCTTGGAGGACACAGGTGGGGAGAAGAGAGTGAGCTTAGGAGATCACAGTGAAAAGAGCAGCCTCTCAGAGATGCTGAGGGAGGAAGAGATGCGACAGGGAGCAAACTGGAAACACACACACACACACACTCACAAAAGAGGAAGGAGGGTAAAGGTGTGGGTGAACAGATCTTTTCTCTGGGTTTCCAGTAGTGAACTCTTGCAATCATTTCCCAAGTTATCTGCCTAACTTTTAAGTTAGCATAGTAAGGCAAAATCATTAATTCAAATGAAACTCCTGTAAAGGGGTCACAAGGTACTACAGTTGTCTAGACGTCTGTGTCTGACTTTTTGTTTTCTTTAGCAAAGGAAGTCCTGTCTCTGTTAAAGGTAGTAGCAAAATAGAATTGCTGGACTTACCAGATTATGGACTACATACACACAGACACACAGACACAAAGACACACAAGAATTGCTTTTTTTTTTTTTCAGTACGGGGCCTTGAACTCACAAGCTCACACTTGCCAGGCAGGCACTTTTGCCACTGAGCTAAATCCCTGGCCCAAGAGTTGCTTTTAATAGATGCTCTTCTCATTTAATTTATTTTAAGAATTCAAAAATTCTTTCCAAGTGATAATAATGTAAGTTTTCTACATAATTAGGAAATAATCCTAATTTGATATTTATCAAGGGCCAGCCCTAGTACTCATAAGCTAACTCTGCACTGAAGAATTTTAAATGGTGGCAAAATTGCCCTCTAAAGCCTTGTAAATCTTACCAAAAACACAATAAAATCACATGCTTTGTAGTTTGTTGAATCTATATATTACAGTGTCTCCACTAGCTTGAATTGCACTGATGAATAGTTCATTTTTAAGGGTTGATAGGTAGTTTATAAAATTAAACAGAGAAAAATGGATAATAAATTCTCTTCTACTTAAACCAGGATAGGACAATAAGATGCTTAGTCACTAATTTGCTCATGATAGAGCTTGGTTTTGAGAGTAGAATTCTGTGTACTTTACACAACTGGGAAATATCACCAGCCTATCTTGTAGCTTCTTTCTCCTTATGGTAGAAAACAAGTTAAAAAATACCACCCATGACCTGGACATAATTGATCTAACATTCTTATTTTAACTCTCAGGACTTACACAGTAGTTCTTATTACTGACTTAGGAGGTCATAAGAAGTTCCTAAGAATCTGAAATTAAGAAGCAGTAGAAAATGATTGCTAAAATTGTAGGTTCTGGGCCACATTTTAAGAAAGTGACAAAGCTAAAACTCTCTATTAATTAGAAATTGAAATAGGCAGTTTCAGTTTTCTTAGGTGTACTTTGTTGTGACTCATTATGTTGAGGTCCTGCAGTAAGTGACACTTACTTTAGTTTTTGGGAATGTTCTGCATCTGATTATATGTTCCCTATGTGGATATATTTTAAGAAAATTTGTGATATAAAATTTTAAGAAAAATTTTTTGAGCGAGACACTTTAAAGAGAATACGTAAAGTTTACTACAAAAATAAAGATAATTGCACACTTGTATTGAGAATACCTATTTATTTTAAATCTGTAAAATTATTTTTACTTAGTTTTGGTGACTTGGTTATTGGTTTGTCTATCTCTAGTATTTTGTTTGAGAGGTTTATCAAACACATACTGAATGCAATGTATAATTCAAAAGTAACTTGAAATTAGTTTTGTGCTCAAATGATTTAAGAGCATAAAATTATATTGCCTTTAAATGTGATTTAAGATGTTTTGAAATACTATGTAGTCCTGCCTAAAAATTACCAAGAGTCTTGGCTAATGATATTTTAATAAAATAATAGGTAATTATAAAGTGAGAATGATTCGTAGTATGTTCTGCAAACTCTTGGAAATTTTTATAACATATAATAATTTCAGTGTTTTGATTGGCTTATTTATAGCAGGTGAACCATGAAGAACCTGGTCATCAGTTTATAAGAATTCTTGACATTTCTGAAATAAGGTAGATCTATAATACTACTTAAATACTCCACCCATGATTTACTTCACTGGTAAGGTGTGAAATGTTCAGCCTCCTACCAAAATAGAGGGTTTTTACAATGTACCCTAGGCAAGATGCTTGGTACAAGCCCTGGGCTTGTCTCAAACTCTGAGGGCAGCCAGTTAATAGGCAGAGACATTGGCAATCAAAAATTCTGAAACCAAATAAGTGTCTGGCATACAGACACTTAGTAGACTACAGCGGGTCTGCTTTGTCTACATTGTAAGCAATTTAATTTTGGTCTTGAAAGATGATGAGAAATAAATTTTATTTTCTATACAGAAGTATATAATTGTTAGTTTCTCTCATTCTTAGTAAATAAATAAATGTCTACTTGAAGATTATTGGCTGGAGCAGTACTCAGAGCAGGCATGTATCTTGGTTCAGGCCTGACCATGTTCATTAAGAACATGAGATCTTAAACTACTAAAAAGTACAATCATGGAGATCTTTTCAATTTTCTGCAGAACTTTTAAATCTCTATACCAAAGTCATTGCATTCTCTGGGCATGGTCCAACATACTGCAAGAAGAACAGATTGACTTTGTCATCAACTTTGTTTAGGTCAAAGTGTTTCTGCTCACATAGCTTAAATTTGCATTAACTGATTTGGTGAACATATTGCAAAGTGAGCTCAGATCCCTAAACCTACATTCTCATGCTCTTTGTTCCTGCTTAACTCACACTCACCTCTGATACCTGCCTCATCTGCATGCCGAAACGCCAGTCTGTTGCAACCCTTCTCAACCTACCACTTCCTTAATTCACGTCCCTGAAGGACAATGTGAAAAATGCTCCATACTCACCAGAGAGCCGTACAACACTGAGATCCTCTTTCACCGTCCTACCTCATAAGGATCATAGTGCTGTGCTGGCTGTCGTCCAGTGCCTGGAACCAAACCCTCTATCTGTTTTGGCTGGAATCATAGCAGTGGTGCTGAGAATAGGAAGAATGCTCCTTACTTCTGTGTGCTCAGACGTGGGGCCTCATTCCTTACCATACCTCTGGGAAAAGAGATATTTCAGTGTTCAAAAATAATTTGTCTTTAAAACTGTCATTTAAATAAATAAATGGATAAAATCAGGTACTTTTAGGCAAAGTAGAAACATAAGCTTAGCACTTGGAGTCTGTTCAGGTTAATGACTTGTAAATATGTTTTGGCAGTAGTCTCTTTTGAAGCATCTTCTTGATATCTGAAATTTTCCTGTACCTAGATTTGTATGCATCTTCATCCCAGAGAAGTAGACAAAGGAGTTCTTTTAAAAATTTCCTTAGAGAAAATGTGTTAATTTACTTCACAAAATCTGCAAGTCATTTTTACAAATTTTAACAGATTTTGGATCTTTGGGCTCATTTGTTTTTCATTTTTTACTTGATATACGATTTTTTAATTTTAAGTAGTTTCTAAAGAAATAAAATGATTCAAAACTGAGCCTGATGAACAACTCACCTTTTAACTTTTAAAACAATAAAGTACACATACATAAAAATGATATCAGTATATTTTTAAAAAGTAGTGTTTTAATGTTTATAGATTCCTTTTAAAAGAATATGATTAATGGGAATAGGAGGCTATGAAAATAATCTATAACCTTCTTTTCTTTGTTTCTCTAAATAATTAAATTAAAAAGCCATCAGGCAGATCCATGCAAAGGGAACAGCTGAGTAGGACTGCTGGCCTGGAGTACATCAGGGCAGGACTATGGACGGGCTAAGGATGTGGGCTGGCAGGTTTAAGCAGTGTGGTGTGTGAGGAGGTGAGGCAGAGCACTGAGAAAAATGGGTAGGTGGACCGAAAAGCATGGAGGTCAGATTTCTCGCTGATTGATGTGGGGTCACAAAAATTAAAATTAAAAAGAGAAAAAGGCTAAAATGAACTTTGTTGTTTTAGAATGAAATTGGAGAAATTGATACCCTGTCATGATTTTCAATAACAGGTGTTGGGGCCAGATAGTGAGTGGGCTCTAACCTGGTGACCAGAGGGGAGTCTT